GTCGTGTCCTTTTCATACGCTTAATGTCATCCTGCATCAACATCCCAAAGGACTCCACATACGTGAAATTGCTGCGGAGTCGGTATTCCGACTGAAAGAGTCAGTCTGTTTCAGTCCGCTGCACCACGGTCATAGTGATATTCCTGACAAGCTCATTGAATCAGGGAACCAATCAGGCTATAAGCGTCCTACGACAAAACTTTCAAGTGAAGTTTCCTTCTGGACGGAATCGGAGTAGTGGCAGGATAGTTAAGAATAATTCAATTATAACCCATACTGAGGAGTACAAAATTAACTGCTCTGTGGGTGCGTGGTATCCTATGAGCTATATACCGAACTTTACTAGCATTTTATAAGCGGAATCGCTTGTTATAGAGGTCCTGCGAGGCATTAGAAAGAAAATGCGAAGGAGCACGAAAAGCACACATTTACTCTTATAGCCAAAGGCACGAGTCAATACACATCCTTTTCATCTGGGTTCCCGACCATAGTAACATGGACGGAAATTAAAGGGCCGAGGAATTGGCTAAGGCCGGAGCATCCCTGGATGAGTCCGAAGCAGAAGCAATAAACTTTCCACACGAACTCAACAAAATGGAACAATTTGCACGTATGGCTGATACGCGTAGGAACAAGTTGAAACCTGCAAAACTGATCGCAGATAAAGCAAAGATAGAGGAACTTTAAAGGAAGTTGAGGGAAAATATAGTCAAGTTAACCGTAATGACAACGGAACCTTGGCCCAATAGCGATACTGCAATCAAAATGGGCCTTCCGTACAAGCCGCGGAGTCGTAGCTGCAGTCTAGAGGATAGTAAGAAAACTATCCTGTATTATCTTTGCGAGTGCCCAGCATTGGCATGCAACAGGCTTTATACACTTTAGAGATTCTTCATCCGAAATGGAGATCTACAAACACCTTACTTACATAAATAGATTCATCGAAAAATCGTAAGTGGTTTGATGAAACTGACGAATTACGAAAGTAGATTATATCATGTATTCCAGAGAAAACGTATCAAAATGATGCTCCCAGCGCTAATTGGATCCTGGAAAAGTACTCAGGCGATGGTTCTACCAACAAACGGACCATTTACAAAGGTGTTTTACGTGAATTCATTTGTCGCTGACAATCTAACAGCTGAATATGCTGCAATATTCTCCAGCTTGAGGTCTATTGGCGACAATTTCAGTGTTATTTTAAAGCAACCGTTGCAGTTTCCCCCAGCACCCATGTTCTGAAGAGAGATACCCTTCACGGAAATAAAGCCCCGTGAATTCTAACTACTGCTGTGTAGCGTGAATGTATCAACAAAGACTATTG